TTAGACTTGATCTTTTCTGTTGAAAGTTCCAAAATGTACCCCGCTTTTTTTTTAGGACGGCCCAGTGGCACTGACCTTAGACGACCCGGTTGTGTTCATAAGAATCTGAGACTGATGGCTGTCCCAGAGCACATGAGCGCTGCTTGAAGCAGCTCCACAGGACGATGGGCCCCAATAGAGATTTAGGGAAGAACAGAGATGTGTGAGGCCGCATTCATTCTACTACATTTTTGTTTTCAGACTAAAACAATTTTTATCACATCTCAGTCCATTCTAACACCTGAAAGCTCTATTACTCTGGAGTAGTGTGGACTTCAGGCATATACGTAGAAGAGTTGATATATTTTTAAAAGAAAATGTAGTATGGGTGTGGTGGCCTCTTGCTTCTCTGCAGCACATTATAGCCAACATTTGGACGATCGACATGTAGACCCCTGTCCTTTCTGACTTGAATATGTGTCCCCCAACATTCACCTCCCGTCAGTATCAAATGTGTGGTGAACAGCATATGTGTCCTGCACCATATGGCTGGAGTTTGAATTGGGGCCTGATATGCACAGGAAAAACTGACTCATCCCACTGTTGAGCTGCCAGCTCTCTGAAATGAACATTAGGTTCTCGATTTATGCCTGAGCTCTGACTGTAAACGTGTTACAGCTTAACACCGCTCCCCACTGCTCTGCTCCCATCCACTCCTTTTGTCCGCTGCAGTGAAGACACAGAAAGAAATAATTGAAACGTGCCAGCTGTCCCCACTCCTTTGCTGTCTCGGCCAGCTTTCTACTCGTCCACTTCCCCATTAACACTGAGTGATTTGCAAAAATGTCGCCTTGGCTCCCCTCGTTACCAGTTTGAAGATGCTCGAGGCAGATTAAATCATGTGAGGAAAAGCAAGCATTCGCAAATTTCGACTATGTTTTATTATCTCAGTGATTCAACACTGCTCAGCCGTTTGTTTTCCGCACGTTCAAAATCGCTTTGTTGAAATAACCCCAACTTCTTTTTTTCATGACTGAATACCTCACGGCAATGAAGTGTTGATTGGCAAGACTGCGGTTTCCTGCCTTCTGCTAGTATCTGTTATAGCCATCTTCCGCAGTCACTCACTCGTGAGCTAAGCCTTGGCTCTGTGCAGATTGCTTGTCTAGAGAGGTACAAAAACCAAATCATTGTGAGCTCAACCGTCAAGAGCAGCAGAATATTCTGTCAACCAGAGCCAGCAGGAGACGGATCAAGGCAGCGTGCATTCTCACATACCTTCTGCATCCTCCCAACGTCTTTCAGCAGATATGCCACTTTATTTACATATCTATTTATCCATGTCCTTATTTTATCAGTGCCTTGACTGTTTATGTTTTGGCAAAGCTATGAAGGGAGTGAACCACAGTGTTTGCCTTGTAAATGAGATCATCCAGTGGCCTTAAGCGTCTCATACCACCCAACCTCCCCCCCCCCGCCCTTGTCACAGAGAGAATTTGCATACCCTCGTATCTAATCTGAAAAAGCTTTTTGCATACAAGTTCTCTTTCTCTGGCAGTTGTATATACTGGCATCACTCTTGGCATCGGGCAAGTAATTTATGTCGCACGCTGGTTTGCATGCACAGCGTTTGTTCACATTTGGGTTTAGTTGAAGGCCAGATGAGAATATTCTCTCGAGCTCTCATCTCATTCATGTGGTTGTTGGGACTATTTGCAGGTAGCCGGGTGTGTGTTTAAAATTAATTGGTTAAAGAAAAACAGAATTAACTTGAATTCTTTTTAAAGGCTTTAGTTTTGCACCTCAAAGCTCATAAAAGTAAAATTGTACAGTGCAGCTTCTGTATGTGATACAGCATGAGTCATCAGACCATGCTTTAGAACAATATCCTGGTCACAGCAAGAAGCCATTTTACCCTTTGCTTGAGTCCCCTGGGTGATGACAATTAGCCCATCATAGTCCAGCTCAGGGCCAAGCCATTCCAGACTGGGTCCAAGCCATTCCAAGCTGGGCCATCTGGCTGCATAAGGGCCACAGAGGACCAGATCTGTGCCAGCTTTCCAGATGTTCCGCAGAGACAAACAGGGTCACAAGTGAAGGATATCAGAGGCAGGAACAGCTGTGTAGTGACACTCTGTTCACCCCAGATTCCCCAGCTGGACACATCAGTCATCACCAGTCAATCCCAGTGGCCTGTTGTTCGTCTGCCACCTCAGTCCCCGTGCCCCTCCTCTCTTCACTTCTCCAATCCCCCACCCTGTATCGCTGTAAACCCAGGCACGTGTGCGCGGGGCAAGGCCCAATTCCCCTGAGTAAGCAGGGCCACAGGAACAACTATAAAAAGATCAATAGTGGGATGAGATGTCATCTGGTGAGCAGACCTGCCAACACCCCCCCAGGGAACGTCCCTGTCCCCCTGGTGCACTAACCCAGCTAACGGGGAGAGTTTGGGTGTGGGGAGGAGGGGCTCCCCCCCACCACCGGGCTGCCCTCCAACCTGCTTGACTCACTCACACCATCTGCTCAGGTTTGTGGGGCAAGGCTTCAGGACAGCACATTTTTTTTGTACAGACACTATGGCATTTGTTTCACATGACTGCCTGTGGCTTCCCTACTGTTCTCCTCGGTGTGTGATTGCAGGCAAAGTGCGCTAAGGAAGAGAAGAACAAAACAACGCCAAATTTGTCAGTTTGTTGAAATGCCTGTAACTCAATCTGACGGTTGTGTGTGGTTTTGCGGCAGAGGGACGGTGTTTGTTGAAAAACAGCAGTGACTTTTCGCTACATATAGCCATTAGGTGACATGTGTCAGAGAGGCATTCCTGTCAACTTGTTATCGCTGTGTGTTTGTTTGCTCTCAAAATGGCTGCTGCAGCTTCAATTGCGGAAGTGAGCAGGTACAATAAAGAGTATTTTCATCAGTTTTTCACTTCTCTTGACTGGCTGCATCCTGCTAAAGAAAGTGTAGTTTAAGGAGCTATCACACAATAACAACTCTATATACATACTAGCATGTTGCCATTACCATGAAGCAAAGACATAATTGAAGTTAAATACTATTTGCTTTCTTCAGCAATCTGATTACGCTGGAGTAAGCAAAAACTCATTTTATTAGATGTTTCTTTTTTTTTTTACTTTGCCATCACTATAATGACGACTATATTTGTGTGTTTGTGAATGTGTAGTGTTTTCCAGAACGACAACTGAGTGTCCATCTCCTGGTCTATTCGTGTGTGTGTGTGTGTGTGTGTGTGTGTGTGTGTGTGTGTGTGTGTGTGTGTGTGTGTGATTTTAATGAGGGATGGGGTTGGTGTGAGCTGATACCTCCCTGCCTCCATTAGAGCCCATTAGAATCATCATTAAGATAACCCGCCGCACATTGTGGCCCTGGCTTCCCAGCATTAGTATTAGAAGTCCCTCTCTATCTTCTAGTGGTCGTAGCGAGACTTCATTCCATAATACTCGCCTCACATTGTGTCTGGGAGAACAGGTTGCCACGGCAACATCACCCAGCGGCGACATTTCGACTGTGGATATTTGCTTCTTCGCCTCTGTTTGCCTGTCTGTGCCCGTCTCTCCGTCTTTGCCGTCATTCTTCCTTCGCTTGCAGGAGAAGAGCCTGACAGTTTAATCCAAATACCAGGCCCCTATAAATCTGGAGGTCTATATACACCCAGACCCCAGAATTCATTTGAAAATCGTGACACCTTAGCCAGGCCCAGTTCTCCCATAAAACACAGGGAGCAAGTGAGAGGGAGCTCAACAAATAAAAAAATAAAAGCTCTGCCCTGCCTTTTTATTGGTCTTTTTATGGGTGTTAGGATCCTTGAAAGATTAAGCAGGCTGTTAATAGGGACTGGATATTCCATTAGTAGGCTGCATATCGAGTTCTCCCCGGCCTGTCAGCGGCTCCCAGCACTTCTCAGTTTTTGTTACCGTTGAGAGTGCCCATGGAGCTTTTTTAATTGCGGCGCATGTAAGCCTTGTGACTGAAGTACTGCTGCATCTTAGCTGTAGATTAAAGCCGCCTGAAGAGACTCATCTGCACCAGCCTGTCTTCTCTCTTCCTGTCTCGATCTGTCTCCATTCGTGTGTGAACATTTTCTTTCTCTGATTTTTTTGTGTGATGCCTGTGTGCTTAAAACGAATTCCACCACCAGCAGCTTTGATTGCTTAAGAAGCTGTAGCACAGTTTTCTCTATTGTAGTTGTAGCAATGCCATCTCCTCAGACTCAATCTCTTTGTGGCTCATTTTGTTTTTCTTTTAACTCCAGTGGAAGTGGAAGATCATCGAACATCTTTTCTTTTTCATTAAGAATCATAAGTGCTTTGAGATTCTTTATATGTGAAAGGTGTCGAGATGCTGCATTTTCTGCCACTTTCATTTTCTTGCCACAACAGCTTATAATTGCAGTCATTAAATTGTATCAGTGCGAGTATGAAAAGTCATTGTTCAGTGGAATGCTGATCATAAAAGCTTCTTGTCTTTTGAAAAGTCCCCTGATGAATGGTGAAGACAAAGTGGCCAAGTTCAGAGTGCTTTGCTGCGGTTCCCTAAATCCCCTGAAAGATCAGGAAGGGGGGATAGAAATGCACAGTGGCAGAGAGGCCAAGATAAGAGGCCATGATCTCTCTTCACAGCAGAATTGAAACATAATTATTTCATGCCAGATTGTGTGCTCAGCAAAGCCCTGAATAGGGGCCGACATTTAACTTTAATTAGCTGTGATTTATTCATACTGACTGGATCGCGAGAAGAAATTGGATCATCTGATTATAGTCAAGCATGAAAATGACCTGATTAAACACTTAATGGAACCTAGGGAGACGGAAGCAGGAGGAACCTTGGGCAAAAGATGTGGAGACAACATTATAAAGAAGGAAAGGGAGCCATGTTTTACTTGATCATGTACTGACATTAGAACCAGTTTTTTGACTCAAACCAGGAAATTACTTGACATTTGAGATGGTCCAACTGTTTCAGATTTTCTTCTTACATTGTCTTGTTTCTTCTCTCCTCAGGTGTGCCACCGAATGAGATTCCCGAGTCCAAGACTTGTAGCTCAGCCAAAGTATCCGGGCTCCAGCGCAGCCAGGAGCAAAGCAACAGTGAGGTGCCCTTCGCGCCTCCTGTGCCCAGCCCCACCCCGGCGTCCGCGCCCACGGGCTCCCCGGCCCCCGCTGCAGCAGCGGCCCCTCCAGAACCTCCCAGGTCGCGCCTCCCCACACCACCTCCTCTCAGCGTCAAGAAGGAGCAGCCTTTGCCCCCTGTCCCTACCCCTCCCCTGTTGAAGGCGCCGCCCCATCCCCAACCCCACCCTCCCCACCCTCACCTGCACCCTCACCCTCACCCGCACCCGCACCCTCACCCTCACCCGCACCCTCACCCGCACCAGGAGCCACGTGTTCTTCTGCCCCCGCAGCACCATACACGGCCAGTAATCAGCCACCAGCTGCATCACCCGCTACAGTACAGCAGCCTCCACGACATCAGGTACGTTGTCACAGGGGCATGTCTGGGTACAAGACAAAAGGCATTTGTGCTTGATTAGAAATATCTACTCACTTCATTTCTGAGTATCCTTTTGTGATAACTGTAACTCACTGATGTAAGGTTAGTGGTGTATCCAGCAACATTTCAACCTCAGTCGGCCAGTGGAGGTATGTCTGTGTAAGACCGCCAGACACCTCAGAGCAACTGACTAACAATAAAGAGGCAGATATTCAGTATCCAGGGAGCCATCTTCACTATCATCAGGGAGCTGTGTTTCCCCTATGTACCAGATCAGAGTGTTACATTGTCACCACAAACACTTAAACGCCTCCCTGCCTGTCTGGTGGAGACAGCAATCGACTGCAGCAATTTCCAAATTTATATAAAATAATCCGATGGGAATAGATACTGTAGAGTTTATATTCTACACAATATTGACTGTTTTCAAGCAGATATTGATTTTCCGCTTCACAAACTTGCAATAAGCAGCTGTCAGATTCACTGTATTTCACTGAGCAACACTTCACTAGATACAACACATTCAGCCTCTTCCTGTTTCATTTTTTTCCCTCAGATTCTGCCCTCACTTCTTTTTCTTTAGTTTAGTGTAAGAAGCTTTATTGTAAAATAATTATCATGTTGTCAAAGAAAAGTGTCAAACATCAATAAAGCTGGACTGATACTGAGCTAGCAACAAAGCAAGTGAGCACATGTATACAACACATGGAAGCTGCAGTTCGAAGTACTTTGATCAAATCTATCAAACTACTGCATTCTTGCTGAATCAAGTATGTATTCATTAGCAGAATAAATTATCATCTCTTTAACAGAGAACTGTATTTTGTGTGTCTTTCAGCCACAGGAGCAGTCCAGTGGGTCTTCCCAAACAACACTTGCCCCCATCCCCTCACCACCACCTCAGTGGACTCCCGTCCTCAGCCCCTGCCTTGCCTCTGTCCATAGCCAATCTCTCTACCTCGCATTATTCCTCTCTACGGAGCCCGGCCCATCGCCATCCGGCCATGTTTGCAACCCCAGCCACACTGCCTCCACCACCGACCTTACCGACCAACAGTTTAGTGGTGCCCGGGCACCCCGCCGGCACCCCCTACCCAGGTAAAGCCGTGCACCTTGCATGGTGGATGGTAGCTAGCCAGTGCAGAAACAGACTGCTTTGGCAAGTGGTAGCTTTAAAATAACCAACACTGGATTTCAATGATGGTTATATATTTAATTGAAATATTTATATCACATTTGGACAAAATAATGAAATTCTGCAGTGGTAGTATTTAATGTACTCATTCCTGGCATTTCTTTATCAGAGAGCTTTTTCATTACAAATTAAGGTTGACGTGTAACAGTACACATATATCAAAGTGTGTATATATATACACATACACAGCGGAGGCAGAGTAAAAGTAATAGTGTATATCATAATGTGGCCATTTAGTTCAGTTGTGCTAGACTTCACTGCACAGCTCCTCCTACTTTTCATGTTAGAATTGCAGGTCTGAGAATAAAACCACAGTTTACATGCTACAGTAACTAAATGTAAAGCTAGTCTTTAACATGATAATATGGTGTTATATGGTGTTTAACTGTTTATTTATCATTTGCTGATCTGGTAAGTGCTCCTTTATTAAAATTACTGCTCTTCTATACTCCACACAGTACAATATATCAGTATATAAATAGACACTTTTATATCTCTAATGAACTGATTTACTTTATTTTTAATAACACTTATTCCTAAATATTGCAGTCAGAGTGTCTAGATATTGGATATGCTAAAGCAAGGATATTCCAGGATATTCCTTTTATTTTCGTGACCCTTTTAGTGCAGCAACTACAGATACCAAGACAAATAAATGATTTGACGAATTTCCAAAGAGCCTCACAAGCAAATCGCCCTTTGACTGCCATAACATCCCCAAGCTGGTCCAGGGGCTAGAAGGGCAACATAAAATAGAGAGAATTTAAAAAAGAGAATGTAAATAAATCCAATTTAAATAGTCACATGCTCTCAGTAGTACAAATTAGAGGGCTAAGATGCATCACAGGAAAAAAAAAGGTCAGCTAACAAGTGGACATTCGTCACAGCTGGAGACATTTAGGGCATATAGAAATCAGCTTTTTACAGTGTTGAAAAAATGTCACGTGTTAAAACTTTGTGCAATCAGTCAGTAATCTGATGCAGTCTCAACAACCATTTATAATTTATCTTGCCAATAATATGTGATTATATGCAATTTGATAATATGCTCAACTAGTTCATCAAAACCAGTGATTTCATCCAGCAGTAGAAGGAAACACATGTCTCCAGCAATGATGAGTGTAGTAAAATGTATTATATATGCCAGTTGTGCATTGAATTTCTAATAGAGGGCAAGAGTGTGTGTGTTTTCTGCTGGGATGACTCTTGGTTCTCTCTTGTCTTTAGATACCAGCCTGTTGATATCATTCAACCAACCAATCATGTATTGCCAGCCTCATTCGGGGATTCTGATTGGCACATTGTCACAGGCAACTCTCTTACCACCACCAATGAGTCCCCACGTAGAAAACCCTCACAGCATGAGCTGGAGAAACAGAGAATGCCAGGTGACTATTTTCTTTCTCTTCTACCCTTGTTGTGAAGACTGACTGGGCGCCCGTGCCTTTTTTTTTTTTCTTGTGTCCTCCCCTTCCCTCTCCCACCCCCTTTTTTTTCTTTTGGTTTTTTTTTTTGGTTTTCCTCGCTCTCCTTTCTTGCAGAGCATGACCTCCTGAGGCAGGAGCTGAACAACCGCTTCCTGGTTCAGAGTTCAGAGCGGGGCCGGGGGCCGCCCGCCTCGCCGCTGGCCCCCGTGTCGCTCCTGAGGGCCGAGTTTCACCAACACCAGCACATGCACCAGCACCAACACACCCACCAGCACACCTTCACGCCCTTTCCCGCCAGTCTGCCCCCGGCCGCCATCCTCACCCCGCCCACCGCACCCCCCATGGTGCGATCCCAAGCCAGAAATGTGAGGATAAGTAAAAAACAAGAAAGCTCCCGTAACTTACCACCCACCTGCCCACTTGTCAGCCCTTCAAATCTCCTCTTCAATCAATTCCTCCCTTTTTTTTGCTTTACCCCAAATTCACCAACTATGTCCGTAGCTGTAGGAACCCCTCCCTTCAAGAATGTAACACTGATTCAGTTTGAATTTTGCTTTTTGATTTCTACATATTGTCCTGCTGCCTGAGAGTCTGAAAGAATCACATCTTTTCCACTGGGACGACTGAGACGAAGACAAGCACTGGGCATATACGACCCACCTTCGGTCACCTCCCATTACACACACACATACTAACACACACACACACACACACCCACTAGTTCCAGAGACATGCTAGTTGCTGCTCAGGTCTGCAAATTCTCCATCCACAGAGGATTTGCATATGAAACTGTACATCCACAATATGCTTTATTTTCCACAGAGGATCTTGTCTGACTCATGGCAAATGTGCCAAACCAGCAAACGTTACCAAATTTCTTGAAATTATTCCTCTTCTTCTTAACTTTGACACAGATTTTGCTGCTCAGTGTTTGCTGAGGATCAAAAAAGGGGAATTGCCTGAAGGCAGGCTTCTCAATTGTTTGCAGATGGATGTGTTTTAAATGGTTCTGACTGTTTTCATTTGCCCGTTAACAAAGGCAGCCTCAAACAGATGTGTGTGTGCATTTCTGTAGACTTGTATATTCGTGTATGTGTGTATGTGTGTGCACAGCAACCATACTTGCCAATGACAAATTCAAAGCCAGTCAAATAACTTCGTGGTAGATGAGTGGGGGATGACATCACTGCAGAACTGTTTTGATAATGTTTCTAATTGCTTCCGTGCCTTGACTGCCATTAAGTCGGGGGGGGGGGTCAAACACTGGCAGCTTTCAGATTAGTCCAGAGGAAAAAAGGTTATAACTATTCATCCATCATTATTTTAAATGCACAGCAATCTCTGACAGTCGATTCAGACGGGGGCCCCATTTGTAGCTTTTTGGCATTAGTCTAATAGATCTAATCCATCATGTCACGACCTCCGATCGAGAGCCTGTGTTCCCATTAAGGCCCCTGCTCCCAAGATTATCCCCATCCTGTACATCTGAAATCAAAGCTCTGGTATTTATGGCACAGTCTCAGATAAGTATAGAGACCGTTTAGAGCGGTCCTTTAGCCGACACACATGTCGTTATCTGGTCCGCCGTCGGTTCCTGACATTGTCAGATTTGTACACATATCACAGTCCTTCTCTTTGAAGATGAAAGGCGGTTTGCCCTCATCTAGCTAATGCTGGCATTATGTAGGCCATCATGTACGTAACCCCCACTCTCTCTTATGTTGTTGTGGTGATGTAATCGGATTTTGCTCTTATTTATGTCCTCTGCTCTTTTTTGTTCCTTTTAATTGAAACTGTGTTATTACTTAACTTGTGCCTTCTCCCCTCCCTTCAACTCCTCCATCACTATGCTGTTTTTCTTCTCCTCTGTGCTTAGCTCAGAGATGCAAGAGTAATGATGATGTTGTGGTTGACTTACTGTTTTGTCATGAAAAGGCAAACCACATAAGGCCTCTCTCTCTGTCTCTCTCTCTCTCTTTTATTTTCCCCTGCTCTCTAGATGCCCCATGTCATTTCAACTCTATAACAGCCCTTGGCTAACGGCTGTAATTAATGAAATTATGAGACCTCTATATTTGTTTATTATTTAACGCCCTCAAGCAGCTGGCTTGCCAAATGGCAGCACTGAGTGTCTTTGCTACCCCGCCCCCTTGCCCCTGCCTTGTCTTTGGACCAGGAATATTCTTAATTGTTATAAGATGAAATATTAAGCTTTAATTAGCCAAAGCTGTTTACCATAAAACCGTGACAGGCACCATAAATTATAAGGGCAAGAGTTTTATATATTTTTTTTTTTCCCAGTTTTTTTACAAGGCCATAAAGCAGCCAAAATCCCTCTCCCAGTGTCGGACATTAAACAGGCCGTGCCTTCAGAAATGCAGAGGAGCTGTTTAATGAGCTCGGAAGCTGGATCGCCACTTCCTCTCAATAGGCTGTCTGGCTTTGATTTGGGCCCATTATCGCCCACAAACAGCGCCGTCAACACCATCGCTGCCACCGCTGCCATTCTGTATGCAGATTTGAATGGCCCAGGTTCACTGAGGGGGCCCCTGACCCAAAACCTAGCTTCCCCACCAGCAGCTTTAGCCAGCCCTCCACCGCCTCCCCCTTCAACCACCCGTGTCGCAGCACACGCTCGACACAGAAACTCTGATTCATACCCACTCATTTTCTTGTTTTATGTAAACCCAAAAAAACGTCTGCGCCTGCCAAGAGAGCTTTGTGAAAACACTCGCAAAAAGTACCTGCAAATGGTTTGCGAATTTGGGGAGTAGGAATAAGTTACTGTCACTTGTAATTAGCCTGTTTTAAAATAGAGAGCCAGTGAACAGACTTACAAGGCTCCTATTCATACACGAAGAAACATTCTCCGTTGTGCCTCTCCCTCCTCTGCTTCTCAGCTTACTGACTAGATTCCCATATGATCATAACCCTTTTTTTCATCAAAAGACACAGCTTTTTATCAAATTCTAATTAAGATTATTCTGGTAGGCATAAGGCCTGCCACAGGATCGGTTTCTTCACATCAGTTCAGTGTTTCAAGGTTATATCAGTTTCATGCTGATCTGTCCTGAATTAGCCTCTAACCACTGCAAATGACATCTAGTTGATTCAGTTTCAGTCATAAAAGACGGACTAGTCACACAAAGGTTCCATATATTATTTCCATGATTTTATGCTCAGAGAATTGGCCTGTTTTCCTGACTAAATCGCTTTAGAAGTCTGGTTTTCTAACACCCAATTCAAGCTGTATGTCTCCATACTCCCCTCCCAGTTATACTATGGGTGATTTTTTTGTTTAAAAAAAACCCGTTGCAGTCAAAGGCAATTAGATTCACATTTCTACAAATTTTCCAGTGAATAGAAACAACTGGTATGGTTTTAAAATGGTCTGATTCCCAAAGCTTGGCCTCCACGCCCAACCTCTGTATGCTCAATTGGAAAATCATGCAGGCTGCCTTCATTTTGGCAGTCTACTAAAGCGGCTGTATTGTTAGTAATTTAACTGCCTATCTGACCATGCAGTTTAAGTAAACCCATGACCAGTGCGAGCCAGCTGCTTTACTCCAGGGCTTATTACTCTGGATCAAAATCCTGCTTATTACCAGTTACAGATGTTGATCACATGTTATGTTTTCATGATGTAAAAATAATGAGATGGTTTTATTTAAAAAGGCTTTGCATGAAGGAGTTAGGTATGTTATGTTTTTTAATTCTTTTCTCTTTTATCGTCTCTTCCAGTTCGACAAATACACACCCAAACTGGACAATCCATTCATCAGACATTCAAACGTGAGTCTCTCTTTGTTATTCAAAATGGGTTTTTTTTATATTTGCATTGGCAAATCAAATATTTGACATATTTGAATGTTGCCGTGACAGCATTTTTTCGTGGCTGTGGTTTTGTGTTTGTGTGCATACGCTTGAGTCCTTGTACGTATCTCTGTATGATTTTGTTTTGTGTCTTTCTGTGTTTCCCATCCTCCCCCCTTTTCTCCCCAGTTCTTCCCCTCCTACCCCCCCACCATGCCAGGCATGCCCCCGCTGCTCCCACACTCAGGACCCTTCAGCTCGCTGCAAGGAGCCTTCCAGCCCAAGGTCAGCCCCACGTCCCCACCCTCAACCCATGATCTACAAACAGATAGTTTAAAGTTGCATGGGCTTGTACACCATTGAAACAACAGCTCACTGATAGCGCACCAAAGGCAAAACCACAATGTTAAGATGCAAGTTGACGTCTTTATGCACTCAAGGATAAGTCAACTTTTGTCAGTGTAAAAAAGCAGTTTAAATGCCCTGCTGTATATGAAGAGTTCCAAGATTTTCCATGGGTCAAAATGGCTTCACACACTCACTGAAGGAAATGAATGAAAGGGATAATGAATAGGCTCTGCACACTGAAGTTTTTAAATCAGATGTTTAGTAACAAACAGTGTGTCAGTAGCTCTAAGCCATGTGGTTCTCTGAGCCAACTTCTGTGTCTTTTATATTCTCACCAAACACAGAAGTGACTTTTTTTTTTATGCAGGAATGTAACCAGAAACATGGTGCTCTAGTTTGTGATAAAAAACAGAATGTGCAACATTGCTCTATATGTGTTTCCTAAAAAAATCCTTGAAAAATATATATATAAAAGAAATGGCAAGTAAAAAAGGTTATATTTAGGCAGAATGGATATTTACAGTATATTTGATTTGTTGATAAGGGATATACTGTCTTGGATGTGAAAAAGCAGAAGAGATTTCTTTGCTGAAGATATCAAACAGAATTCTATTAAATCTTACCTCATCAGATTTAAATCTGTTATGATAATACACTGTCAAACTTGACTGGACCTGAACCAGGGTCAGAGCTGTGTGATGACCCGCGCTGGGACATTTGCCATGTCAGGGAGAGCAAAGCAAAATCTGTTCAGGAGAGAAAAGGAGCGACGATGCAGGAGAGGTAGGGACGTGAGGGATGGGAAGGAGAATGAGGGTGTAAGTCTGTCTGGCAGATGCCCAGCGGCTGTGACCCGGTGTAAGCCACTAATCAAAGCTGCCCTAAATCCGCTGGCCCTATTCCCAACAGACTTTGTCATGGAGGGGCCCTTTTGTGGCAGGCCCTTCCAGTTGGCTCAAGGAACCATCTTATGTGTCTAAAGACCCTGCTAAGTAATCTTAGAGAGGAGCTTGGGATGTGTGTTTGTTTGTGGGGCTGGTCACCCTGCTGGATCATTCCTGTCCCTGATATAGGGATGGATTAATAAGTCTGATCTAAGCAATTGTGCCCCAGCGACTTAAGGGGGAGGTGTGTTACTCTGACGCGGCTCAGTGCCTGCAGCATCACTGCTGTTTTATCTATGACATCAGCTATATAGTAGCTGTAGCTGAGGATTAGTGAGCTATCATGCAACTGAGGAAGGATATAAGGTTACAGTGATGCTGGCATCTCTAGCTGCACGATTGAGTGGTTTTAAAAAAGAGTTACTGCCAGAACATGGACACAAGGTTTAGTCCTTATGTTAATTATTCTTATTTACATGGAAAGAAAATAGTCTTTAGGATGCCAGACCCTTGTTTGAGAGTTATTCTATGAGGTCAATGTACTTTCTTTGAATTATTCTGCATAGAGTAGCTATATAACATGGATCTAAATATTCTATAAATGTTTTAATGACTGTAGACCCCCTTGATCACCATGTTTGTCTTTGTCTCTCTTTCTCTCTCTCTGTCAGGCATCTAATCCAATCGACGTAGCTGCACGTCCTGGAGCAGTACCTCACACACTCCTACACAAGGATCCACGGGTAAGCACGAGGCCGATCGCGTCCCAAACAGGTTCCTGTTGCTCTGTCCCTCCCGTTGAAAGCCACACATGTACAATGTACAATACAGCATGTGTCTCACAGAGATGTGAATGCATGTCTCTGCGTTATCACCTTTTTGAGACACTTCTCCTCATGCCTAGCTATAAACGCGTTTATCCATGTGTTATTATTTATTGATGATGGTAATGGTCGTCTGTTTATTCACACAGATAACAGATCCATTCAGGACATCTGTTAGGGTAAGTGGTCGCCATGTGTATCTTCTGTTTAACTTGTCATCTCTCTGGCCAGGCCACAAAGTCTCAACACTGCAAATTCTTCATTCACTCAAATTTCTGCAGCGTGATGCAGCTGCGCTTACAGTTAGATTCGAGGTCTCTATTGGGTTAAAGTCAGGGTTAGATTTTCTTAATCCGTTGCCTGGTTGGAAATTCGGATGAGTTCCCACTTTGTAGTTTGGCCAGAAAAATCGTGTTGCCAGAATCCACTTTTAGCTCCCCGTATCAAAGCCAGCAGGCTAACCTCAGTCTCTCTCTAAATTTTTAGAAACCTGGCAAGTGGTGTGCAGTGCATGTCCAGATCGCATGGCAGATCTACCACCACCAGCAGAAAATGAAGGTGCGTGAGATGCATATTGATGTCTTTCAGGAGTCTTGCTGTCATGTAAACCCAGAAACAGTATATTGGTAATGAAATAATGGCCCAAATAACATACTTACAGACAGGTCTGATCATGTCATAGTTGGATCTTTACCTATTTAGCAATATAATCGTGTTACTGGATTCAGAAAGATCATGTCGCTGGGAAAAGTCAGATGACAGAAAAAGGAACAGAATGCTGTTAAAGTTAATTACGACACAAAATCCAAGAAAATTCTGTCTCCTCTTCTTAAGTTTTCCCTAAAGCTCAGTAAACATGTGCATGGCTCACTCCACCTAAGAGAAAGGGGCAGATCATAAACCATCACATTTCAGCCACTGAGTGACAATTGAAGTAATATGTGTTGACAAAAATGCAACATGTGAGCACAGACAAAAAAAAGCTTGTGTGGAAATTCTCCTCTCACTGACCGAGGATAGTGTGGCCTCGCCATGGAGATCCTCTGCTAATGCCACTGGCCCTGTGGTGTCAGCTCTTCTCGGGCTCTGAATGCCCGTTAGCAGGGATTTAGTGTCCCTAATCAGCTTACATATATTTGTTATAACACAGTTGGCCAGAATTGGAGACATGGAGCCATTGTTGATGTATCTGTCTTCCTCTGATCTCTCACCCAGCATAGCTGAGCATAAATCCCTCTCACTCTGTTGTTGGAAATGTTTGGTACTGTTGCCTACCGACCTAATTTCCTTTGTCTGTCCCATCTCCCTTTCTCTTCCTCTCTTGAATATAGCAAATGCAGCTGGATCCTCACAAACTTGACATGAATGGGAAGCTGGACCTGTTCAGTCGACCCCCAGGTCCAGGCGTCTTTCCAGGGCTCCCATACCCCCACGACCTGGCACGACCCCTTTTCTCCTCCACAGGTCAGTGGGGTCTCTCAGCATCCAATCCATCTGACAACGTTTCTGTCTACATGGAGTTGAGCATTTATACAGGGAGAAATCAATGTCGATTTCGCTATAATCGTCCCCCCTTTATAATGTTCACTTAATTATAGCAGCTTTGTAGCAAATGTTTTGCCAGTAAAGTCAGAAATGAATATGGATGACTCTCAGTTAGGTAATTGACTGATTTGCCCCATGTTGGAGGGCAACAGAGAGGCGAACAGCCTTTGACTGGTAATTATGCAGTGATGTGTCAGAGACGCTCCTGTAATTGGTTCTTTCATTAACCATTCATGGAATACGGGTGATGATGGTAACAGCGTTTTGTAAAAGAGGTGAGCTTCTGGCAAGTGACCTCAATAAGCAGCTCTATCTATGGCATCGCTCACTGACATGCAACAGCTGCATTAAAACCAAAATGTGAATTGCTCATTTTGTCCAACATTTGTGATGCTGTTGCAGGAAGTAAAATACCTCTATCACACGGGTCAGAGATAAGATTGTTGTTTTGGATAATAAATTTGGTTCTTCTGTGCCTGAATGCCGGATTGGATCATAACAATATGCTGCTCTCCTCCTCTGATAGGCTCTGGCCACCCAGCTCCCTCCCCCTATGGCCCTGCCCCACATCCCAGTGGCTTCCTGCCTCCTAGCCATTTGGCAGGTAAGTGTAAGTAACCCCACGTTTTAATGTTTTTTGATAAATGTATCCCCCTTTTGCTCTGTCTCTCACTCACTTACTCACTCTGTCTCCCTTGCACTCTTGTTTTAAAACACAATACAAGTCACTGGGGTGTAATGCGAAACCTAGATATTCCCAGTTTTTACCTCAGAAGGTTAATGTGGAATCCAGTTGGCCAGTGTCGTCAGTCTGCTGCTGCAGTAGCTATCATAAACTTGGACACTATGATTCATAACTTAGCCTTAAATAACTCTTATTAAAAAGACAGCGGGCCAAGTGTTCAGCCGAATTCAACCCCCCTCATTTGTTTGGGGAAACTGAACTTAGTGCAGCTGCATAGGTTATACTTTTTTTGACTTTCTATTAGTATGCAAAGTTTGTAATTCATAGTTAATGTTGCTGTATTTATTTATGCATGGAATTATTTGTAGCCATTCATGTATTCACCACCACTCAATCACTGAGACACTGTTTGGATTCAGAGTGGCAAGTTGATTTCATGAAATAAGCCCTTGAGTCAATCCATTTTGTGCCCATGAATGCACGGTGCACAGAGGAGGAAGACTTGGCAAACAACATTTTCCTGTCCGGGGAATTCATGCGCAAGGCGGAGGAGATTTCTCAATTGTTGTGTGTCCTGATACATTAACAAGCCCCACAGATCAAAATCCTTAAACCCTAATCTGCTGATACTGTCTGCATTTCCTGAAGGATTTTTGCTTATTTAGAACAGCACTGCAAATTATTAGTTGATGAATGTTGTTTACTGACTTCTCAGGGTTGATATTTTAGATACTATATCCCTATGGAGGCTAGGCTTTGCACCAGTTGATCCCATCAGACACTGTTTCTCCAGTTAAATCATTACACTCTGTCTAGCCTAATTTTCACAGCTTCTTATTCCCCCTGCCCTACCACAGTCCATTTTCAGATCTGCTCCAACAACTCAAAAAATATTTGCCCCATCAAGCAATGTTGTTGCACTTGCTCCCAGCAGGGTCAGAGACACTGCTCTCTGGTTAGGGCCAGTGAACCCAGCATTGAGACGGCCTGGCAGGATTATCAGGCAGAGAGCTAGGGTGGCAGCGCTAAAAAAAACCACAGCTCGCTTGTAAGAGAAAAGCCGAGTGGAATGGGCTGGTGTTGGGGTGAGCACTGCTAGCCAGCCACCCCCCTTTTGCTAATCCCTGTTTGGCATTTTGCAGATCCTTTCAGTCGCTCCAGTTCCTTTGGCGGCCTCGGCAACCTTTCAAGCAGTGCCTTCGGAGGATTAGGCAACCCCTCGCTTGGTAAGCGCTGGCCCCCTCTCCTCCTCCATCGCTCCCCCCTTCAGTCTGGCCCCTGTGGACAGTGGCATAACAGAGCAGGACAGAGTTAGACCACAGGGAGAGCCCAGGAGGAGAGGAAAGAAAGAATTAAGACACTTAGGTCTAGTTTCTGTGGCAAAGCAGCCCCTAGCCCAGCAAGGCCCAACAAAGCAGCACAACACACCACAGCAGACCTCCTCCCTGCCTCCACTTCATCCACCAGCCATGTCCCCAACAGCCTGGCTTTAATCTGGCTGCACTACTGCCAACAGGCACTCTCAGGTCTGCCGTTTGGTGGCAATTCATCTATTAATTATTTGACAAGCCCCTTCTGCACCACCATGGAGGGCTTTCTCTTTTCCCCATGCATCCGCCTCTCTGTGCCTTTCTCTCCCACTCCTATTTTTGTGTGCCAACTCCTGTTGTGAAAATGGATGTGATTGGAATAGACATGCCGTGGAATGCTAAGGTTTCCCTTTGGCTTTTCACAGCCCTCAACTCCAGAGGGCAAGTGAGTCTCCCCTGTTCATCCGGTGCAAAAAGGGGAAGGGGGAGAAGCCCTTTAGTCCAAAAGCAAATGAGTATTTTGTTTCCACTGGTGGGGGGAGCCATTAACCTCTAACTCTTTCAAACAGCGTCAGTGAGAGAACCTCCAGAGACAAAGACAAAAGCAGCTTTTGTTGTTGAGTCTTTCTCATCTTATGTGTCCTCAAGAAGGTTTTGTGGCCAATTAACTTACAATGGGTCCCACGCCTGTCTCCCCTTTCCCTCCAGGGTCCAACAGTATGTTTGGCACCAAGGAGGGGCCGGGAGGACTGCCCACGTTTGGCAGCCCTCACCACGACACCTGGAACAGACTTCGACGCACCCCGCCTTCGTTCCCCACCCCACCGCAGTGGCCCAAGACCGCAGACACAGAGAGGAGCAACTCAGCCAACAGCCACGAAAGAGAGCGAGAGAGGGAGCGGGAAAGAGAGAGGGAGAGGGAAAGAGAGAAAAGAGACTCGTCCATCGGAAAAGAGGAGAAGGATAAAGACAGGTGAGTTTGCGGTCGTTTCAACTTTCACCTTTTATATAATTTTTTATAGGATTTTAGCTTTCAATTTAGTGAAAAATATTTCTCCAAAGAGCAATTTCACTTCAGTTAGTATTATGCTTCCCCCAAAAAGGAAACTACTCTTCTGGCAATTAGGATCCTTGGGAAACTAAATTAAAATGCATCCAATAGGAAGACACAAATCAAACAGTAAAAATAAGCTCTGAGGGAAGCTATCGGTCAAAAATTAATTGGAAGGATCTCCGTGGATAATTTTGAAGCAACACACAAGAGTCAGAATTAAAGGCAGAAACCATGAGCACAGGAAGATTAGAGCATGGTAACCTACATACAACCCCTCTACATGAAGCCTGTTTTCACAAGCACCAAATTAATTTTCTTATATTGTCATTACAGAGATTCTGTGGATCGTAACCGACACTCCAACCGCTCATCTCCAGCCTCTGCACCAGTCAGCTACCAGATCAGCAGCTTGATTCGCTCAAACAGCCAGAACTCCAGTGACTCAGGTCGGCATCATAGCGGCAGTGTAGACCGGGTTCGTGAGGCGGAGAAGGAGCTGCTGGAGCGCCACAGAGAGTCTGATGTGAAGGTGAAAGAGAGCCGCTCCCCTGGGAAGGAGATGCTGGAGAGGAGAACCTCAGAAGACTCCATCAAACCCTGTCAACGTTCTCCTTCTCCATACTCAAAGGCGATCAATGAGCAGAGCTTAAAGATGGTAGGTGGGCCCCCACCTACACTCAAGGACAGCGAGAAGAAAGAGCCCCCACCTGCAGACCTCCTCCACAAGGTGAAAAATGACATGAAGATTAAGGAGGAGAGGAAGGAGGAGCAGGAGGTCATGGTGGTGAGCTCTGAGCCAGCCCCCCACCCACAAGCCCAAGCTCTTTCTGCTCCCATGGGTCAATCTATGAACCCGCACCACCACCACCCTCCTTTGTCTCAGCAGCAGCCTCTTCCCTCACCGCGTGGCAGTGACATCCCAGCCCCTGGGCTACACGGTGTCCCCATGGCACACTCACTGCCCCTGTCCATGAGTGCCATGCCCCAGATGGGCAGTCTCAACGTGCTAGACCGGGCTCGTATGGCTCCCTTCATGGGTGTGAGCCCTCTGGCAGGTAGAGAGCGCTTGCCCCACCCGGCCTTCCCTTGGGACCCTCTCAGAGAGGCCTACCGTAGCCTGGACCTGCAGCGGCGCATGGACTTCCAGCTCAGGGCAGAGCAAGGACATCGCTTCCCTAGCATGTACGAACAGGAACGGGCCTACCGCGAGAGGGAGGCTCATGACTACTCTCACCACGAGCACCTCATGGAGGTGCGCAGGGAGCACGAGAGGATGAGGCAGCAGGCGGAGGAGCGAGAGCGCCAACACCTGCGGGAGGAGCTGGACAGAGCACGCCTCCATCAGCTGCACCAGTCCCCTATGGAGGGCCATCTTCCCCACATGCCCCCCTTTATGCCCCACCTCAGCGGCATGCCCTACCCTAGACTCAGCCCCTCCACAGGACACAACGGCCCTCTGAACAGAACACCCCCCACTGCCGCACTCAGTGCACCCCCACCCCTTGTGCCAGCCGGCAGTGCCAGGCCAGCCTCACCCAGGAGGACTACCCCCCTCACCACCACACAGGACCCAAGGGACTACTCCCCATCTCGCAACCCCAAAGAGGTAGAGGCTCGGTAGCTCCTTAGAAACGTGCACAAAGTCTTACTAGACGCACTCACAAAACCCCACTCCCCTAATCTGAAATCCTCTAGTGAACAAAATGCACTGCTCTTCACCAGAGGAGAGCAAAACTCCCTAAGGGAAAGGGAATGATTGTAAAGTAAAAGTAAAGGTGTGTAGGGCCGATCAAGCACATGCCATGACTTTACTTTTAATGGACTGGAGGCTCAATAATGTCGGCAGAGAACACAAATATGTGTATGTTTATATCCGACTTAAATATTTGATAATTATTAATATATTAATCCAATATCTTTTTTCAGCTTTGTGCGAAAAGAGAGGTCCTGAAATGAGTTTGTACATTTCCTATCCTTGTTCCATGTATAGATATCATTTCTATGAATTTTATGTATTTTGTGCATAAGTCACACCTTTTACAATATTTATCCCAGTTGATTGTGAGACATATCCATTATGACCCACTGTAAAGACTGGATTATTGGTTTCAACCCTCAGTAATTTAACCTCATGGTACCAGGATATCCTCAATGATGACAATGTACAATGTTACATTACCGATTTGTTTTGTTCATTTGTTTTGCCTTTGAGATATGCAGATAAATATATATTATGAGGTCTTCGTTCAGTCTCTGTAAAGAAAACTGATGTAAATAACTTGTTGATATTCCTTCGCTGCAAAATTACCATGTAAATTTACTAGGCTTTTTAACCATTTCTAGAAAAACAAAATCAAATGAAACATGGGGGAATCATTTCCCCATTGAATATCATGGTAACAGACAAGCCTGGCCAATGGATAGGAAGTACGACAGGAGGGTGTTGCAAGGGGGCCTACAAGGATCATCTGCAATCTATGCAAAGCAGCACACAGCACCCTAATGAAGAGATCACCTGGAGGGAGCGAACTATACTGAGGATACCGAAAGAAACTTGGATTAACACGTGTTTATATTTACCAATGAAATAATGATGAATTATTGAAAGACTTCCAAGTCACAAACTGGACCAGCCCTGGACAGAAAAGAAGGACACTTTTTAGTGGGTGGCAAAAGGACTTTCTCTGTCAACCTTGTGGTGTTGTGCAGTTGTTTTTCTTAGACTGTTGTATACAAAGCAAGTAGAGTTTTAGGCCTGCAAAAAATGAAAATGAACATTCATGGTTTAAAATGTACGGAATAAAGTTTGGACCTAATGTCATACGTTTGCAGCATGTCTTTAATTCTGGTACTCATTGTCAGTGCTGACTCCCAAGTACTGAATTTGTCAGTAAGCCAAACCTACTGAGTGGAATGTTGATGTTGGGTTGATGGGTTTGCCAATAATGCTTGTACCTCAGTTTTCAGAGTATTTGCTCATCTGATATCAAGCTATTACTTTGAAATCATAAAGGCAACAGACTTTGCCAGTGGAGTAGCCTAAGCTATCAGATCATTTGACCATAATCTGTCATACATGGGCTGCAGAGCTCTTCAGAGGGGATCGATGAGACTTGGCCAAGGCAATACAGGGAGGGACTAATAGGACATTGATTTTGTATGAAAGCAGGTTTTGAGTGTTTGTGTTGCAGGTAACCGGTATTGACTGGCAGCCCAGTGGCATATTGACCCGTGGTCTGGACTCATTAAGAGGAGCAATGCTTGGGAGGCAGGCTATCGGATGGTGAGGGGAGGCTCCTCTCCCCTCTCGTACGCCTCCTCTCCTCATGCACAACACTCATCTGCTTGTCTAATGAGGCCGGAAGGTGCTCTGGTGTGGGCCACGGAGGGCGCCTTGAGGAGCCCCATCCTAATATTGACAAGACCACGGCTATGCCTGCCGCCTGTCCAGAGACGGCCAATTCATCTTGATAATGCCCCGACTACTCATCTCGCTGCTGTGTGCTGTGAGACCCACCAATCCTGTCCCGTGGTATCAGGTCATAATAACAGCGTGGATCAAATCGTGGTCAGGTCATTAGGGGATGTTACTGAAAATCAATGGCACGCCTCTGTCTCACACACTCCAGCTGGCCTTTTTTTAAAGGGCTCTTCGAAAAGACTGTTTTCCAGAATGGGGCTGGCGTATTGGGAAGACTTAAATCACTATCACTTTCAATTTAGCCCCCCGGTAATTGAGCCTCGTATTTCTCCAACGGGTAGCATCTGTCAGCGGCCAGCTTCCCTTTATAGCTGTGTGCTTTTAGACCTAATCATCTAGTCAACAAAAGGTACTTAACCCCTGCGGTTACTGCATAGTGATTTTTCCTGTAACTATTATTTACCAAACAAGCTTTGGTAGGAGAAGAACACACACCTTACATTTCCCCCCCCGACTCAATCACTGTGCCTTGTGCTCTATCCATTTTATGGCGGAGTGTGGAACGGCCCTCCGGAGATGAAAAGCTCCATCAATTTCACTCATCGTCTGGCGAGGTCAATTTATTTCAACACACAGTCCATCATCAGATGGGAATCAATTGACACATTGTCTAGCATATCCAACCCAAGGTGGGTTATTACAGCGACTGCAATTGTCAGCTCTTTTCCAGGGCTATTCTTCATGTTCAGGATTTTTTCTTTTTTCTTTTGCTGGCATTGTGTACGATTTTCTATATTTACACATTCTTTTTTTAATACGCATTTCATATTGGATGAATATTGTTACTATGACAGGGCTTCATGTAACAGCTTGTCACAGAGAAGCGACTGTGATACAAGATTGTGGTTTTTTTTTTTACACACTTCTCCACTATAATCCCAATTAATAGGATATGGTGGTATCTGAGGTTGACATTGTTTTATTGTTCTGCTAATCCTCTTCATTTATCTGTGAGAAAACTCAGTGCTGAGGGTTCAGGATTGAATTTTCATGCTCTCAAATACTTCCAAAAAGCGCTTGGCACAGAGCTCACCCCAGATTCAGCGAACATTGGAACAAGCCTAAGGGGCTTTTATAGAGCACAATGGCTGCTAATAACACAGCGCCAAGCTAATAAGATGGGCAACAAATGAATGGTTAGGTCCAAGCTCCTTTTCTCTCTTGCTCTCTCTTCCCCCGCTGATAAAACATGTATGAAAGCGTTTTTGAACAGCTATGCAGTGGCTCCCTAGACTTTTCCCCCAACGAGAGCTAATGCATTAGTTCCCAGTTGAAGGCTGTTTTGAAATGGAGATTGGTAATGAGACGGGAGGCCCCCGACACTATCACATTTAGATTGCTGTGGCCTCCGCTGGGCCTGGCGATTTGGGAGACTGTGGCGCTGCAAGGAGTTCAAGCCCATTTCTCTGCGGGGAGTAGAAAACCCTGACGAGAGCCCTTCTAAACCTCTAAACTATATCTGAACTGTGAACTGAGGGAGAGAGCTCCAAGTCAAGGGCTTTGGCACTGGATCCCTGTCGCAGCGCTCTTTGTAGACTGCGTGTTGTTTTGACCACCTAAAAAGGCTAACAGCATACATCCTTCCGGGTTGCCATCTTTTTTTAGCCCTCAATGTCAACAGAGCGGCAGCTGACAGAAACCAGGCCAGTCAGCGGTTAAGGAGCTGACTTGGAAACAACCAAATGGTGTGAATTCCAGACCCTGGTGACAAAGTGCTGTCTAATGTCTTTGCACCTCTGGATCCATGACAAATATGCTGGCTGTCTCACACCCCCACCACTACGGCTGTGCAAGGAGATCTGCCAGCACAGCCTAGGAGAAAGAATATACTGTAAATCACTCACAGAGGAACCTCAGAGAGTGTGGTGTGAGACAGGGAGGAGTATGAGAGAATTAAGGGAGATGGAAAAGGAGAAGGTCCAGAACAGCCACAAGCCAAAATAAGTTTTCCACTTTGATTCAATTTTGAGGATTTTTCCAGTCTTTAGTGGAACCTCACAATCTCCCACACTGGCCATATTATGTACACAAGCCATAAAAAATGGATAACATTTATGCAGCTGGGTGCATCTGGCACCGATAGGCCTCTCATTGAGGGACCCACAGGATGGCACCGTGCCGCCACACCACCCTCTCTGTTCTATGTATGGGCACGAGACAAGGGAAGAATTAGGGGAGGGGGTGGGTGGGGTAAAGGGAAGCACTCAAATGCTTCGAATGGGTTGAAAAAAAGAGAGATTTCAAGGCAAATGGAGGCCATACGTGCCTCGTCCAATTTGGCACAGCTAATGCACATGATTAGCCGTAGAGACGTTAATCAAAAGTGGCTCAGTATTTGAAGGGGCGGTGAGAGGCACTGCCAGCTGGTGACAACATGGCTTGTGTGCACGGGCCAAGAGTGAAGTTTATTTGAATATGGATCTTGCCGTGACCGTATTTCTCCAGAGCTCAGTTAGCAGAGTGTTCCCTGGCTCATCACTGGGATCGCCTCAGAGCTGCTTGGCACCAGGGAAGGAGGAAGTTTTTCCAAGCCGCAGGATGAGAATTATGATTTAGTCCATCCCCTCTGGTGGTGTGGGCATATTCATAAGCATTTATTCAGTTCGACGCTGGCAGAGACGCAATACCTATTTCTTGGCGTCCATGTGTGAGGATTTCCTTTCCAATGTGAAATTATGAAATTGACAAAAAGGTTGTTTATACAGCCTATGAATTAATAAGACATGTAAAAATAAAACATTCTATCTTTCCACATAAAACTGTGCTGTCCTTCTACTGAAAACAAAGCCCCAATATTAAACTGTTGGTTCCCACAGGGCCAGACTTTGAGTTAAGACCACCAGTCATCTCAAGCAGAAACAGCACAGACACTTTGTTTAGCTTTGGGCACATTTCAGTTAGCATCTAAAGGATTCTGTATGAGTTCATATATGAAATATCTTTGCACCACAACAAATATAATCAGACACTTATTCCCAAACCCCGGATCAGCAGGATAAACTTATTCCAGGTAAGTGAAAAAATAATAGGCACACATAAATAATGACTTACAAAGTTAACTACACTCTAAGTTAGCAGGCATTTTAAAGTTAGCATTTTAATATTAACACCTATTTAATACTGCTGGCTATGACATACAAGTGAATTTTATGTTGAGTTATTTTTTTGCCACTTGCAAAAACGGATGAAATGATTCCTTGTTACATTTCCAGATAATGCAACATTCCTACGTTTTGCCAGCTTGAGGTGATGATCAATGGAGAGGCTCTTAGAGGGACACTGGTACCAAGAATTGTTGTCTTTTTTTAGCTTAGCATGTGTAGTATCCTTTGTGTGTACATGGAGCATGTTCTCCATGCTTCTACAGTGGCCCAGAATTGCATTTTTACATTAGCCTACCTGACAACCTTAAGCCGTTTTCAGACAGAGTTTACTTGCAGTTTGCCTTTAACACATGCACAACACAGCGGGAGATTTTCTGCACTGACGCGTTCACAACAGCAACAAATCCTCCAAATTATGCAGGGGAGAGGTGTAGCAGCCGGGTGCAGCAGACAGAGGCAGGAAGTGATGTATTAACTGCTGCTGCGGGGAGAAAATCTGCAGATACTGCGGAGCGTCTCACTCAGACTATTCAGACAAGTAAGTAAAGTCAGCATCCAGGTTTCTTAGCAGCAACAATCATAAATCTGAGTGATGCTATTCAGACAGCAATGCCATATGTTGATTGAGGTGATATTTATTTGGACATTTTCTGTCAGTCAGTGTGGCATTAGGAAACTTAAGGATAGTTTACAGCTTCTAAACAGTTTAATCATATCTACACATCTAATACTGTAAAGATGCAGTTATTTGTATATTAAATTCAGGATTTTAGAGTATGGTGTAGTATAATGTATGCAGGTGCTGAACATCCTTGTGTGAGGTTGATCTTTTGATGCATCTTGGATTCTTATTGCTTCTTTCAGCACAGTCTGAGTGTTTATGTCATCAATGAGTTTTAACGGTCAGTTACAAAAATGCCAAATGAGGTTATGATAAGGTGTAAAAGGGCAGGGGGATCATATTCTTCATGAGACTGGCTTAAGTGGGGCTTCTCAGCATTCCACGCCTGGCTTTGCCTGCCTCCCATGCTCCTTTGGAAATGTGCCTGGCAGCAAACATGCTTTGAATGGCTCTTATCTCCTATCTGGGCAGGAGTTGCACCATGATAACAAACCCTATCTTATCTCGCTGTGTTCGTTAATGTCACAGCTTAAGGGGCTTGTTCTTACACTTGCAATGGGGCTTGCAGAGCGGATTGTTTGCAGATTAGTCAACACAGGCCTCTGGAGATCTTG